CCACCCTAACCCTAACCACCCTAACCACCCTAACCACCCTAATGGTCGACGCCGGGCTTACGCACGCGAATATATCTAGCCGCTTTACCCTATTTAAAGAAACGTTGGTAGTAGACCCGCTCTATGGCCTAGTTGATGAGCTACTCTTGGGCATAGCGCTCGTCTAGGGCCGGTTTCCCACTATTCCTATATGGAGAGAATCTATGCTCTTGACGCTAATGCCAACGTAATGTATGGAATATTCGGACTACATACTTACATAACCTCTCTTAGCGGCACTAAAATCCGTCCGAAAATAACGGTAAGCCTTCCACGGGAATACGGAGCGTTAAGGGTACGATGCTTGCCTCGTCCTATGCGAGATCTTACTAGGGAGGCTGGGTTTGTATCTGGTCGGTGATCTATTGGACTATAGCGGGAGCGATATGATGTGGCTGCTTAGTGAGGTGGCTCTTGATCTTAGCTAGACGGATCACGTACTAGCACTACCGATAGATTAAGACCTAGAATATGGTATTATAAAGGAAAAACTACTAGGGCGTGGATAGGTCGAGTCTAGTGGTTATTGATGTTCCTTGTGATGTGATATTAGTGCGTACCCCATCAAAACTATCTCTTGGTTTCTAATCCCTGTAACTACCTTTAAACAATATTCAATATTGCTTAAACCCCACTTGCTGATAAAAGAAGCATTGATCTATAAACTAGCTGTCTTTGAACTGAACCGCCCATAATTTAGCCAGAAATCCGAGGTCTCAGTGTAATTGGTCTTAGGGTACCAGCCCCACTTTTTCTGCCATACTAAAGACTTCCACCCTAACTGATCTCAGCCTCGATCCAGCAACCCCCATGGGATAGGAATAGTAAACGTAGAAGATACGAGAGTAGCTATAATAGTATAGGAGAGTTACGAAGAAGATTAGAATCCATAGATAGAGAACCTAATAAGGTTATTACCGTGAGATAGACGGACTAAATAAAGAAACTAGCTCTAGTAAGAGTCTAAAGAACGAAGACATGCCGTAGTAGAGTCGAACTATATAAAGAGAACGTTATTTTAATAAAGATAACTTAAACTAGAAGAACCTATTATAGGCGGACTAGAGAGTCCTAGCCTATAAAGGAAGGGGATAGTATTACGACACGTCTATAGGAGAGCCATATAAGAGGTAGAGAGTAGGAGTATAAGCGCATAAGAACACTTCTATATGCTACTACTAGGTAGAGATGCTAGAGGAAGGTTATTCCAACATATTTAGGTAACTAATTAGATAAGCCGTATAACAGAAGTAGGCCCACGGGAGAGATCTATGGGAGCTCTCTAGTGATTATATTATCAATATGACAACAGCACTATATATACTATAGCTCGTGTCATCACTCGTATCTAATCTAACCGTATAAGGCCCACGCCTTAACAGTTTAGTAATCTTTTCATAGGCGGCTTTAATCTACTTAAGCTACTAGATACAGAGGTTTATTGCCTCAAGAATTACCATAAGGTCTTCTTCTAGGGTTATTACTCTTACTTAGGTTAGGGTCTCTATAGCGGGGGTGCTAGTGGCTCTCGCGGAGTGGGTTCGGGGGTAGATCGGGTATAATTAGGTAACGTCTCGGCCTATCCTAATATTATGCCCTAATAACGAGGTTACGCCGTAACAGTAGGTCCGTAATAACTAGCCCTACTTTTTCTGCTATACTTAAGACTTCCACCCTAACTGATCTTAGCCTTGATCCAGCAACCCCTATGGGATAGATAAAGAGAGCATATGACTGAGGAACAGGCAAGAGAAATCATATTCCAAGGTTATAAGCACTATATCGCTATGAATTAGTCCGACATGCGTATTTCAATACCCTCTCTAGTATTGGTTCCGAAATTAATTTCTTGAACCAACTTCACCCTTTTCTTATTGTTTCTTCAAATTAGACACAAAATCCTCGAGTCGAGAGGCGCTGGCTTTGAGCTGTTCCCGATCTGCAGCACCAATGCAAACCAACGCCAAACTCGAACCACCGGGGAGATCAGAAGTCCAAGTTACGAGGACGAAGCTGCCATCCAGGAATTCCTTTTCAAAGTGCTTTCGAAACTCATGCTGCAAGCAACGAGGACTGAATGAATAAAGCAACGCTTCTGAGAGGCCTCGACCAACAAAATGACTTCGAAGACATCCCAGGCTGTATGAGCCAGTCACTCTGACATTGAGATCGATGACCAGTTGACTTCCATCTTCACTCACGATGATATCCACACCAGCAGGGCCATAATAACCCTTACTATGTAAGAAGATGGCAACTTGGTTTATGATTCCTGAAAACCGCCGTTCCAATTCTGGCTGCTCCGGGTAGGACATAGTACCCCCTGACCAGAGTCCATCGTTATCAAGAGCCTGATTGCAACAGCCATTGAAGATAGCTCGCCCTCGTTGAGTGATGAACATAGTCAGACCCATTGTTTCTCCAGGGATAAATTCCTGAATTGCCAAAGAGCATGGGACCAGATGCTCATTCAACGGAGTAACCTCCTGTAACATCTTTCGAACTTCAGTCTGAAGCACTGCTATTGCGGACTGGCGTTGAGCCTCAGTGCGAATGATGAATGTACCCAGGCTTCCCACTGTCTGTGGAACCTTGACAATGAATGGTAATTCCCGATCATAGATTTCACGGATCATACGCTCGACTTCAGCATCGATTTGCTCTTCCGTGTCGATAGATTTACTCTCAATTATAGTTGTTTTGGGAGTCGGTAAGCCAGAATATGCCAACCCCCTCTTAGAAAGTAAATCGTAGTGGATTTCGGGGTCAACAATATGAGGTAGATGAGCGAGTCGGTCCAAGGGGTTCAAAGTCACTGCTTCTGTGGCCGATGGTAACTCAATATCTTCGGGATTTCGGACAAAGCTTAAGTTTGGCCTTTGTTCTGCTGACAATTGATCGAAAATCGCAGATGCATCAAGATGATCGCAATTTTCCTCAGGGTCTGCATCGTTCTGTCCAGGCTTCGAGTCGAAGAAAATCACCGGCATTTTTCCTGCCACGAAGCTCATCTTTAAAGGAATGTTATGAAGACGACGCTTTCCCACCGCATCTGGGTCGGTTGATGGCGCCAGAGGAGTCTGGTACATGAACTTCTTCGACGCAGGTGATGACACTGTTCCCTCACTCCGGGGAGTGGGATATGCAAAGATTGCGACAAGATTCGATGCATCGCCATCTTGAGCATATAACTCAGCCAATGTGCGATCAAGAACAATGCCTTCCATAACAATATTTGTGATTTGGAAGAAGGTATGGTGATGGGAGGAACTGAATGTAGACTTTTCGATTGCAGGTTGCTCCGTTCACCGATTAGTGAGTGAGAGTGGGGAAGATTCAAATGAGTTCTATGCACCGAGCCATCTCATGTGCGGATCAATTGATTGACGATGCATTGCATCAATCGCTCATTTGTAAAATTACTCATACCGCCACAAATAGGCATTCATTACTAGTCTGTATTGAGTGAGTACATAAAATACACTAAATAACGCAGGTGGCGCCCTTGTATCAGCGTGGACCCGCGTGCCGATCGGTGGTGGAGATGCTAAAATTTCAGCTGATCGACAAATATCTAACTAGTGCTGTCTCACCGCATCTCCGCCCCACCGTCTAGATGTTACTCTCCGGAAGTCTTTTCCAGCCGGCAAAGATCATTACGGGAAGTGCAAAAATTACACAAGCCGAACAAAGTACTGAAATACGGGGTAAGTAAATGACCACGCCTTCAACCTTGGAAATGTCATGGATGATGTGGGCGGACCTACTTGGCATGAACTGAAATGATGAGAGATAGCTCTGGCGAATGATATTCTGAGTAGACTCTGGAAGTTTAAAAGCAAACCGAGCATCATTCAGGACTTTGTGGACAAGCTGTAAAAAGTTAGAAATAACTCTAGGTAGTCAAGTTAGTCGATTGGCCCAGAACAACATACAGCGGGTTTCTCGGAGCTTGAGGGTATTTCCCTGTATAGTTTCCTCTGAAAAATGAAGTCGACCAATTTTAGACCTAACAAAGGTCCGATGACAGCACCAAGTTGACCAAACAGTGCATATGTGCCGATGCACTGTCCAATTCGTGCCTCGATGACTGTGGTAGTCATTCCAACAAACTGTGTGGAAAACAAAATGCCCATAGTGAAACCAAATGGAATGAGGTAGACGGTCTCCCACGGAAGGCAGGGGGCACGCCACCGAAGGAATATCAGCAAGTAGATCAAGCCCATAAAGCAAGCCGTTATAACACCGATCTTTCTGGGGCTTTTTTCTCTAAATGAGGGAGCAAAACAGTCAGATATGACTCCTCGTGGAAACTTATGTACGGAATATGAACTATGTTGTCCGGAATTGACTTACCTCCTCCTGATCAAATATCCTGCAAAGTAACCGCCAGTAGGCACGCCGGCCATAATTAACATATTCACCATTGAAGCAGTGAAGTCGCTCACGTTGAAAACGCGAATGAAGTATGGTGTAGTCGTCGGGATAAACTGTCAGATAGTCAGATGGAACGCTCGGCTGTTCAAAATGTGACTCTTCTTCTTACGGCACTGCGACCCATATTGATCAACTGCTGCGACAAGCAATATGCACCAAATGATGTCAACATCAGATCCAAGGGTATCAGTGGATTCGTAGCCCACAAAAGCTCCACCAGAAAGAGAAGCGCGAGCGAAATGATGAATGTAGCCGAGGAGACATAGAAGAGCTGGGATTGTTGAGCTTCTCCAAAATTAAAATTATGAATCGCAAACAGGAAGGACAAAACCGCCACGACAAAGATCGTAATACCAGAGAAATCAATGCTCTTGAGCCTGGTCTTGGTAGATCCACTTTCATCGCCGCCATGTGGGTTGTTCAAGGACTGCGGCATTTGCCAAACTGTGACGAGAGCGGCCGCAACAATCAAAGGTATCTGACCAATAAAAGACCTTCTGAATGATTAGAATCTGAAAATCGCGAAGGGATTGATCGGGCGAACCATCTCCAACCCACGGTTTGCGTAAGAAGTCCACCAATGGGTGCGCCTAAGCTACGTCCCGCGATGTTCACTATGCTGGTGTAATTTTGATAAATCACGATGTCTTGAGGAGGCAACAGCTCTATCTAGCTGTTAGTGCGCCCGCTCGCATTTCGTAGGTGGATGGTTGGACAAGTACTTGCCGGTCATGACTACTGAAACCAAGGACACCATACCGGCGCCACTTAATCCAGTCAAGCACCGGGCCAGTATGAGCTGGTTCATGGTGACGCTACACCCACTAGATCGGTAAAGATGTCAGCCAGCAACAAAAAGCCTGATTCAGAATTTGTATCTTACCAAGCAATACATCCAAGCGCAAAGATGGCATACGACCACAACAAAATTCTCTTCCGGCCAAATAAGTCACCAAATACTCCGCACTGTTTTTCACGCCAATTAATGTATGTTCGTCAAACGTTCTTGGTATATGCAAAGAATAGAACCAACCACCGGTGATGCGACACAGTTTCCAAACGTGTAGGCGACCAGTAGCCAGGAACCCTTCGAAAGACTCTGAAATTCGGATGCGACGACGGTGTAATTTGACGTCATGAGCGACTCATCTGCACTGGCTAGAAATTCCCCTATTTTGATGCATCAGTAATGTGCTTCCGGCAAGGCGATCCAAAGGGGGTGCCTTGATATACCAAGAAAAGTTGCGCATACGACGAAGGCGGCTGATCGCGCTGCGGTGGAGGTGATGAGGGGGTCCGCACTGCGCTCCCCTGGGATTGAGACCTTAGACAGGAGGGGAGACTCCTCGGTGGGTGATTTCGAGCTCATAGCGAACAGCTCGTCGGCGCGTTGCTTGAACGTCGTGAGGTTAGGGGAAGTTCTGGAAGCACAGCTGTGATCCTGTAGATCCGAGGGCCACCATGATCATGACAGCAGAATTCAACTCAAGGGGTTCGAGCCTAATACGTAAGGCATCGGGTGGTAACTAACTAACTAGTTATGATATATTATATAATCAGTGTTTTGGTCCTTACATTCCTAGATCGCTTGGTGTAACCCTTAGTAACCCTAAGTAAATTACTAGTCATTATGAGGCCACCCGAACCCCCTATAGCGTTCAGTGGGACCCCCTTGATCTGTAGTCACTCATGACAGAAACCTGATGGATCGAAAGTCAATAAATTTTCAATTGTGGAAATGATCTGCATGAACCCCACAAAGGATGGTTCACTAATGGAGAAATGTGATGATACCTAAGCTTCCATGCACATAGCATATAGTAAGACATATGCACTATAATTTCTCGTGGAACAGATTATGGTTGCCAAGTTTCAGCAGTACAGGTCTAGCCATAAATTACGTGGAACCTTCTACTTAATACTTGGCAGGAGGAAGTAAGGATGGATCGGAACGAACACCTGCAGATCGCCGATTCGTTTCTCTCTTAGGTTCCTCAGGTTGGAGTTCCCTGCCGTGCTTGGGGGCTTGGCAAGAACTGTGGGCCACATCTCCAAGGAATCAGGTTAGCCAACAGTAGCAAGTCCCTGACAACCAGGTTGTTGATGAATGGTGGGGCGGTCCAGTTCTCGATAGCTCTGCATACATGTATGTGGAGCTCGTATTTACGTATTCTACACCGTTTCACAAATGGATCGTTCTGCGTATCTACGTCTCCATACACCACTTAATCAACAAGAAGACACTCCATACATATACTGTACATGTGATTATGTGAAAATTGCATACAATGGTTCATGAGGGTCATTGAAGCAGAATTGAATTGATGGTAGAAACGAGCTAGCGAGCCTTTGAGGCCTCTCTACTGGCATCGTATAATTCCAGTAACCCAGGATAGAACTTTGCAGTTACATCGCGATATTTAAGGGCTCGAGCCACGAACACGCCATGTCCAATCCCATCTTTGAAGGTTGTAAGAAAGTACGCAGAAGCGTCTGATTTGACCTTTTCATCATTGACCAAGTCCATAATATGAGGCGGGATGTCGACTTTTGCGGTCTGAGGTGTCTGATCCAGTCCAATGACCTGGAAATATGGAAATGAGTAGCGATCTCCCAGCGAGTTGCCATTCTCATCTTGAAATGTCTTCGCGCTCAGACTGACCCGATGCGTTGTAGCCTTGCAAACTCCTTTGGACAATGCATCTAATTGCTGGCCAATGTTGACAATCAGATGACCGGGCTTAGGAGGAGCAGGAACCCACTCGCCGGAGTGGTTTTGGACTTCAAGGCCCGAATGACCGCTTCCAGGGAGTAGGAATGTCAAGAAGCTGCTATCTTTGTGTGTATTTATTCCAAAGAAACCTTCATCTCCAGAAGCCTGTGGATCTGAAGGCTCAGGGTATTTAGCAAGCATCAGTCGATCAGTAGATGCTTCGTCAAAGAGGCGAGCAAACGCATTCGGTTCTAAATCCAGGGCCTCGGCCATCAATAACTTAAATCTGTCTGCCAGACAAGCAATCTCTGCCATATAATTCTCAACCGCGGGGCGGAATCCAGGTACCTTAGTTTCATTTGGCCACTGCGTATTGTTTGTCAGTGGAACAGAAAAAATCATATATTCGGTCGTGATACTCACTGGATTGATACCGCGAAGATTGTAGTAGATAGGATCGTCAGGTCCTGCAAGAGGATGGTCCTTTCCAAGCTAGGTTGGAGGTGGTTAGTACGGGTCCCAAGACAAACATTATACTGGGCCACGGGCAGCATACGACAATTAATTCTCGATGGTCGGGAGTGAGATCTTCAGATTCCACAGCCTTCATGCCAACATATCCTAAATAATGCTTATTGGTGGTCATGTCGCTTTTTGACTTTTCCTCGGCTGATTGAGCGAAGAATTTGACGGCATGGTGACGCAATTCACGTTGAGAATCCTCTGAGATATTGTGGTTTTTGAGAAGGAAAAACCCAACTCTAACGACCGCATCTCGCAACTCAGATAAGAATTGTGATTTTGTTTCAGCTGAAGTCGACAGGGTGAAGTCAATGACAGGAATTGAAGAGAAATTATCGGCCATGATGAAATTGGCCAATAAGTGCTGTCGCACGATTCAAAGTGAAAGTTTAGCCTCACACGATTTCAAGCAAAGTGAAATAATATCCTTTGAAACAGAAAATGAGTACAGAGTACCGAGGGTGGGAACAACTCCATAATCAATGCTTCAAATGTTCCCAGGTTTATTTTTCATGACGGAATTTCATGACGCCCATGCGATACGTCTATTCAATACAGCCAAGTATCTAAACTCCACAAAATGGTTCGAGCTGGGCCAATATACGTACTGTACATATGCACAGGTGGCTGGGGCACGTTAATCAAGGGTGCAGGACGGCACACATAGCTCCGGAGTATGTCGTCGTGACACACATAGAAATTCGCGCACCATAAGAACTTCAGTTCAAGGGGCAATCAGTCCAAGGTCCCAAGTTCCCAGCCTTGGAACCTTCCAAGGTTGGAATTATTGAATCCGAGTCCTGAAACACGGGCCGTGGCGAGGTGACGCATGTGGGTCCCTAATCTACACCGATCGCGAGTTTCCTAATTTTGACCCACTGTTAGTCCGACTTTCGATGGACGGGGTGTTCTCATTACGAGATTCATACAGCGTATTCCGTAGCACCCGACAATTCCCGTGAAAGTGAATAAGGCACGGACGGAGGATGATGAGATTGTTTTTCGCGCATGTATGGAAATATATGCATACTGTACATACTCCACTTCTGAGATTGACAGAGTCTTTCCTTTTTTCAGACGATCGTTGCCGCATTTGATCAATGAATGACATATGTACGCGTTGTTCTGACTTACCTTGGTTACAGTAATGTAAGTAGACTTGGCCTTTCGAAACTGTTCAATACATTTCCTATATCACCGAACGCAGCTGGGTATCCAGGGATGTATTGTGAGTGTATCGGCCCTTGCTGAAAAAAAAAGTCGAAAAGGAAAAAAAAATCAAATCAAATCAAGATGATAAATCGAGACCAGAGAAAGCTCCACGTGTTCCACATAGTAGTTAATTGTCAAGAATCTATGGTGATCGTAAAAAATAAAATATCGAACAGAGTAGGTCATTTCGTAGATTCTTGTCATACTACAATTCCTTCAATTTGTCTTTTCTGTTGTTCTGTTGGATCTTTTTAACTTCTTTTGAACAATCTGACTTTTGTCGACATTTGCATTGCCTACTTAAATATAAGTACGATCATGGGCGGGGAGCATCGCGAGCAACCCTGTTGTATTTTTCCAGCTCTCGTCGGCGACAGTGGTCAGCAAATCAGCAAAAGACGACTTGAGCGCGTTCAATTCAATTGGGAGCCGATACAAAGCAACTCAAATGCGACCAATTTAATTCAATTAGCTTGGGGTGTTGTCTTGCGCCTTTATGCTGGATCTGAGGATATTGCGTTTCTTTACGCCAAGACCAGTGTCCAGAACAGCAGGTTTCATCTATGCAGCTTCCAGCTGCAGGGTGAGAAATGTTTGCAAATTCTAGCTGGAGACAACTCTCATAATGTGTCCAGATGGCATACTCGGCCACTGGATGTCGCCCGTGATGTGGACAAGTTCCAAGGGAATGTCAACACTATGGTGGTTGAGAGTGCCGCCTTCGCCAATGACTGGGAGCAAAATGCTCCATTGCCCGAAGCATTACACTCAGGAAAGGTTCGTCATGAGAACTCCGCACTGGCGAGATTAGATGAGTTTTTCCCCCTCTAACATGCGGCTCAAGCCTACCCAGATGATCGATTTAGTCCTAGAATTCCAAAGGTCAAATTATTCCACGCATAATATTATTATTCATTACAGCCCTTCCGTCATCGATGGCAGGCTAGCCAATAGTGTGGTGGAAACTTTCAAAGAAACATTGACTCGCCTTTTTGAGAATTCAGAGTTGACTGTGAACGATATAAACCCTTGCAGTGCATACGACTTCGATCAACTGAAGCTTTGGAACCCATCTATACCAGAGCCAGAAGCTGAATGCGTCCATCAGACCATTCTAAAGCAATGCAGTCAAAATCCTGGTGATGTCGCTGTCGACTCTTGGGACGGGGTTCTGACTTATCTCGAGCTTGACTTTCTTTCCGCAGAACTTGGGCAACGTCTTCTCAAGCAAGGAGTTTCCACAGGGACGCTGACTGTATTATGCTTCGAGAAATCCAAATGGGCAATTGTGGCTGTCCTGGGAGTCTTGAGAGCTGGCAGTGCCTTTGCATTTGTTGACCCTTCAAGTCCCCTTCCACGTATGCAAAGCATATGCCAAGATCTACAGGCTAAATATTTGGTTTGCTCGACAGCCCATTCTGAGTTGGGGCAAGATCTTGATTTACATACCATAATTGCGTCAACACCAGCATCGCTTTCTCCAGAGAGCTATTCAAAAGCTCAGGTTATCAACTCGCAGATTAGCCCATCCAGTCCAATCTATGTTGCATTCTCTTCTGGTTCAACCGGCAAACCAAAAGGGGTTGTCATAGAGCATAGGGGCTTTTGGCTGCGGGCCATGGCAAATAAAGAGATCCTATCGCTGGGAAAGTCGTCAAGAACACTTCAATTCGCAAGTTACGTGTTTGATGTCAGCAACAGGGATATACTGTACACTTTAATGTTCGGCGGTTGTATCTGTGTTCCCTCCGATTACGACCGCTATAACAACCTGACGACGTATATGACTCAAAAACAGATAAACTGGGCCAGCCTGACCCCCTCTGTTTCCAATCTGCTGGATCCAAATAACGTACCCCATCTTCGCCAGCTAGTGCTATGTGGTGAGCCAATGACACCGCTCCATATTGCTACCTGGAGTGGAAAGGTCGATCTCATCAACGCCTATGGTCCATCAGAAGCAGTCACAATCAGCGCGATACGCACCAATATGAGTCCTACCGACCATCACATGAATATCGGAAACGGAGCCGGGTCAAATTTATGGATTGTAGATGCGAATGACTATGAGAAGCTTCTGCCTATTGGAGCGATCGGCGAGTTGCTGATAGAGAGTCCCAGTGTTGGACGCGGATACATCAATAACCCGGAGCTGACAAATTCATCATTCCTACGGGCACCATCATGGCTTCAGAACTTACGACGCTGCTCTAGTCTTGGTCGAGTATACATGACTGGAGATCTCGCTCGGCTGGAGTCCGACGGAAGCATCCGCTTCGTTGGTCGCAAAGATTCTCAGGTCAAAATCCGAGGCCAACGTGTCGAGCTCAGTGAAGTGGAACATCATATCCAGCGCCTGATTGGTGAAGGTCTTGGGATCCCTGTTTTGGTCGACATCATTGCGCCTAAGGGAATAAATACAGATATTCTGGTCGCATTCTTGCCAATCATGCAAAGTACAAGAAGGAATGCGCGAAGTGACCTCCATGAGATACTGCGCGGTATAATCCCTAGTCTGGAAGAGAAATTGAGCCAAATATTACCGTCATACATGATTCCAAGCAGATTTCTCATTGTTAAAAAAATTCCTATGACAGCCACAGGCAAGAGGAATAGACAGCAATTGCGTCGAGAATTTGCAACCATGAGCTTGGACGATCTGGATGAGGCTAACTCCGTCGAGAAAAAGAGATTCATTCCAACTTCGGGAATAGAGCAACATCTACAGCAGATCTGGGCTTCAGTATTAGGAAAGGAGCCGAGTATGATCGGTTCAGATCACAGTTTTTTCCGCCTAGGAGGAAACTCCATCATGGCTATGCAAGTAGCTTCCCTTGCTCGCTCTGAAGGCCTGGACTTGTCGGTCGCAGACATCTTAGAGCACAAACAATTTGGCCGACTCACTGAAATTCTCTCAACGCGACCAATTGTGAGCACTACTATCCACGCCATACCATTTTCTCTCCTTCACCCAGGTGACATGGATACGCTTCCTGCGAAACTAGAAGAACTTCGAGCGAGGGACATGATCGCGGATATTGTTCCAGTGACTGAAACCCAAAAATTCTTTCTCACTCAGTGGAGTCTTTCATCGTATTGCCTGCCACTCGCTGGGGATGTTAATGTTGATCGATTACATGCTGCCTGCCAGACTGTCGTTTCACAACATAGCAGCTTGCGGTCCATTTACATGAAAGTAGGAGACACAATCGTTCAAGTGTTTCTGAAAACCATTGATGTTTCTTTCAATCACCTGAAAGTGGACGATCCCCTTGAATCTGCCTGCCAAAAAATAACGAAACATGATATCGCAGAATCGCCCATGTCGGGAAATTTGCCCATTAAGTTCACTTTAATCTCAAAATCAGAAAAGGAACATGCATTGATGGTCCGAGTCTCACACGCACAATATGATGGTTACTCGTCGCCCATTCTCTTTAAAGGTATCTCGACTGCCTATAACAGCCTGAGCCAAATCCCAGCGCACTCGCTGCCCACGCCTTACAGCCATTATGTCTATGCTTGCCATCGGTCCAAAACAAAACAGGCACTCGAATTCTGGCGAAGAAACCTTCTGGGCTCATCGATGACCATTCTTCCTACTCATAGTTCCTACTGCGGGGATCGAGCGCCAACTGATATCAGACAAACCGCCAGCTCAAAGCTTCCCACTCCTCCCGAAGATCTTACTGTGCCAACCCTAATGAACGCCGCCCTTGCCGTTGTTCTTTCGCGACGCCTGCAGGTATACAATGTAGTTTTTGGTGTGGTGATGAACACCCGTGATATTGCTGTACCAGGGGTGGAGCAAATTCTTGGCTCTTGCATCAACATCAATCCATTCCGCGGTGTCTCGGAGCCAACACAAACTGTTCTTGGCCTCTGTAACGCGCTTCAAGATCAATACGTCAACGTTGCCAGATATGGTTATCTCGATCTCCCGTATATCGTTGCCAACTGCACAGACTGGGATCCTAAGACCAAACTAGGCGTCATGATCAATCACCTCGACGGAGCGAAGCAGCCAATTCATCTCAAGCTGAATGGTGCTGTATGCACATCTTCCGAATGGAAAGCAAATATCAATCTCATTGATCAAATACTTGTTCGCTCCATCACTGTTGGAGACGAGTTGAGAGTTCAAATTCTCACATCAGATAAAATCCTGAGTGCAGAGGCTGCGTGTGCTATGGCTAGGGAACTGGTAGACACCGCACGTCTACTCTCTAAAAGCCCCAACGTGATTCTTTCTTCTCTATATCCAGGTCAACCTGATCTTGTCGCCTCTGCTAATTAGGCTTTCCTGTTCAGTTTTAAAACCAAATTGATGTCAACCTTCCGGGCTATTGTCCGTATATTGCACTTATTACACTTATTTGGTCAAAATCACCGACAGTGATTCAAGTCTCTGACAATTATTCCCGTTTTAGATAAAATCGTCAAGAGAAGGCGAACTACACCCTTTCTGATTGTAAATAGGAGCGATTGTCTCGATAATTTGAGTTAAGTCGCTTACATAGGGCCTTTTCGGTGAGATCCGGCGTTGCGGCTTTCCTCAATTCAATGCCAGAGGCAAAAAAACCCGATCCCCGGTTTTCCCCGCAAACTCTCCACAACTCGGAGTCCACTAGACCCAACATTCAAATGTTTAAGGCGGAAACAAACTCAATGTTGAATCTAATATGGTGTAGACCTTCTATTAGTCGGGTTTTGGCTCTGAACCGGCCTCTATCATACTCTATGAATGAATTTATGTAATTAGGAAAACTACATCGATCAAAAATTCTAAATAGCACATACTCTAAGGCATCGTCGTACTTTAAGGCTCTAGCGGAACTATAGCTTCCCCCTAATACATCCTAACTAGACCTAGATAAAACCCGCGGGAGCTACTAAATTCTAGTCCCATGCCCGTGGGCCCTTAGTCATATAGGCTAGGATAATATGGTTTTAACTACCACGCCCCACTCCTATGGGATTTTTTTTTACCTATTTCCCGTCCTAGGTATATCTATAGGTTTCCTATAGGAGTCATAAAATTACCTATATCTATATAAAGTCCCTATATAATCTACTAACTAAGAATACTAAAAGATTAGTAATTTATCTAGTTTCTATATATATAATCTTTAAGGAAAAGACTTAGATTTTTTATCTCCATACTAAATTAAATTCGTTAAGTTTTAACTAGTCTTCCTCTTAATTCTATTTATGTTTTTCTAATAAGTCCTCTAGCTTATCTATTATCTTATTATCTATCTTAGACCTAGATAAAACCCGCGGGAGCTACTAAATTCTAGTCCTATGCCTATGGGTCCTGTCACGGTGTGAACTGTTAGGGTCCGTGGGGACCCGCCAGGACTGATAAGGAAGATCACAGGCACGTGATCTATGATCCATTTATCTACACATCCATCCTGGATCCTGTTATAGCTCTTCGAGCTACGTCTTGTATAATAGCTTACGCTAGTCTGCCCCCGTCTGCCACCTGATCAATTAGAACCCTTCTGGATACGTTCTGATCCCGTCGATCTCCTCCTATTACAACCCTGTCCGCCCGCACCCTGATACTACGTAGCTCCTCCCCCTTTAGGAGTTGATTATCTAAAGATATCCGACCTAGTCCCGTAGCCCCCGTTCCTGCTAAGCGACCTAGAGTAGTTCGCTGAGTATATAAGAGACCACCCCGACTAGTGGTTCGAATACTGCCGCCGCGTGTATGACTATATCGAAAGTGTCCACTCAGATGCGACCGACGCCCGTGAGCGCGTAGACTAAGCCAAACTGTAGCTATAAGCCGCGAAGATAGAGATTAGCCGCCTCACGAATGAGCTAGCCATGGCCGAGCGTAACCGCCTGCGAGATGCCGCTATCCTGGATTACTAGAAGAAGCTCTATGACGAGGTATAATAGAATATCGCCCGCGTGGAAGCCGCGCGGATGCGTGCGGCCAAGCTCGCCATCCCTATGGTGAATACCGCACCCGTCCCTGCCCTTAAGCCTGCTGCTGAGCCTACTATAGCTGTTACTATGGGAGCGCCTCCGTCGCTTACTCCTAAGTCTTCTGGCTCCTATATACGATCTGAACGTCTTCCCGACCCTGATAAGTTTAAAGGGGAACGAAAGGACCTCCGCCGATTTATTTCCTAGGTTAAGGAGAAGCTGAATATCAACCATGACTGTTTCCCGACCCCGTAGTCCTAGATGACCTATATAACTAACCGTCTGAAGGGCGTCCCTTACGCCTAGATCCTGCCGTATATCTATGAAGGTATCTACTAGTTAAACGACTTCACTAATATCCTAGACATCCTAGAACGGGCCTTTAGAGACCCTAACCGCGCCCGAAATGCCCGAAACGAACTCTACCGCTTACGATAGGGAAATAAAGAGTTTAGTTTGTTCTTCGCGGAGTTCTAGCGTCTTGCTATGGAAGGCGAGATATATAAAGAAGCCCTACCCACGATGCTTGAGTAAGCGATTAACCGAGAGCTAAAGAGTATGCTACTATACCACGAACCGCCGAAGGGAGACTACCTCGACCTAGCATAATTCCTTTAGAACCTAGAGAATCGTCGGGCCTAGTACGACAGCAGCTAGTTAGCTACCCCCCAAACTTCCTCTGTAGCTATAAGGGCCGCCTTAAAGGCCACCGAGCCTAACTCCTGGAGATAAGGCCCTGAACGAGTTCTAACTCCCCCGCCCGCGAACCCTAATACTATGGACCTATCTACTACCCGCCGCCGGTTCTCCCCTAACCGCTAGAACCCATCCCGCTATGAATAGAACGCCTGCTTCCACTATGGCTTAAAGGAGCACTTCGTCTAAGACTACCTGTAAGCTGATAAGCGCCCACTGGCGGCCCGCTAGATGACCGTTTTCTCCTGTTCGCCCCTGAACGGACCCCGTTCCCCCTCTCTGGGTAGTAACCCCCGCGGCCGCTCTACCTTTAGCCGCTCGCTATCCCCTAAGGACTCGGTAAAAGGCGTTAGCCTGGCCTAAGTCGCGACTAGGCGCTATAACCGCGCGTTATCTATCTATCTATCGCCGCCCTAAATGGCCTCTCCGTTGAAGAGGAAACCCGCCGATCCGATCTAATGATATTACCTATTATACTATACCAAAAGGAAAAGGAACTCCTAAGTTACGCTATACTAGACTCCAGGGTAGAAGGAAAGAGATTTATCGACCAAGAGTAGGCCTAAGAGAACGGTCTTACCCTCCTACCACTTACGAACGCGATCTAACTAGAGGGATTTAATAGGCAAGAAGCTAAGAGTGGCCTGATCACCTACTACGTGTAGATACACATCTATATTAATAACTACCAAGAGAGAAGAGCTTACTTCCTAGCCACATAGCTAGCGCACTACCCGATTGTATTGGGCCTACTATGGCTGAAAGTGCACGACCCCTATATTCGCTTCGCCGAACATACCGTTGAGTTTAATAGTGACTACTGCCGAAGGAACTATAATACACCCTAGCGAAGCGCGAAGATCCAAGCGCTCTATAACATACCTATTAAGACCCGTCCGAAGTCCCTACCTACACGACCCGCTAGTCTCGAGAAACGAGACGTGGCGGCCGTGTCGTTATCCGCGTGCGCTATATACGCTAGAAGGAACTACCGAATGTTCGCTATAACTACTGAAGATATCGAAGCTATACTGAACCTGAAGACCACTACCGAGCCCGACCCTACCTCTATACTGCCTATGGAATTCCGAGACTTCGCAGAAGTGTTCTCCCTGGAGGAAGCCAATCGCTTGCCGCCCTATCGACCTTACGATCATAAGATTATATTATAAGAAGATAAACCCCTGCCGTTCGGACCCCTATACCCGATGTCCTGGAATGAGCTAGAAGTCCTAAAAGACTGGATTGGAGATAACCTAAAGAAAGGGTTTATCCGTCCGAGCTCTTCGCCTGCGGCCTTACCCGTTCTGTTTGTTAAGAAACCAGACGGAGGCCTCCGGTTCTATATGGACTACCGCGCGCTAAATGCGATCACTACCAAAGACCGTTACCCGCTGCCGCTTACGAAGGAGACCCTGAATAACCTAAAAGGGATGAAATACTTCACGAAGATTGACATCATCTCCGCTTTCAATAACCTGTGGATCGCGAAAGGACAGGATGTAAAGCCACCCTATAGGTCATGAGTTCGAATCCCAGTGTGCGCGATTGAATTTTCATGGCTTACAAATCTTGCCTAGATTTGGGGGCTAGCATATATTACCTAATCCTTTCTGTCCTGTTCTAGCGCTAAGGGACTAGCGTGACCTAGAAGAGGGGTACTGTCACGGTGTGTATGCGTACAACCGTTCTGCCTGAGTTCTGCCTATAGATTAAGGTATATATATGCGAGAGCAGTGTAAAGCTTTGGCTTTACATACTAGTCTTTTGCTGATAGCGCAGCGGTTTAGCTTCTGAATGCTCCCAGAGGTCACGCCGTGACAGGCCTAAGGAGTTAGAAATAATATTCCTTAAGAATAGTGAGAATAGTAAGAATAGTAAGAATAGCGAGCATAATAAGAATAGTAAGGATAGTGAGAATAGTAGTGATGATGATAATGAAACTCTTCTAGTGATAGAGGAAGAAAATACCCTAATATGTCACGGCGTGACCTCTGGGAGCATTCAGAAGCTAAACCGCTGCGCTATCAGCAAAAGACTAGTATGTAAAGCCAAAGCTTTACACTGCTCTCGCATATATATACCTTAATCTATAGGCAGAACTCAGGCAGAACGGTTGTACGCATACACACCGTGACATAATACGCACATTAGTAAGGACGCGGAAACGTCCTAGGCATTTTGAGGATAACTAATATATTTATCCTAGACCTTAAATAGTTTATTAATATTAATATTCTTTAATTAAATTACTTCTAAAATCAATTATAGCTACTAAGCTTATGTATATAAAATACCCAAAAATATAGACTAAAAATGCATATTTTTATGTTATACTAAAATAAGTAGATATTTGCACTATTTGAAGCATAATGGGCCCCTAATGGGCCCCATTCATAGGCCTTAGGTCCAAGGCAAAGCCTAAGGCCCATTTTCAGGTTTTGGCGATGTCTATACTAAAATACTAAAAAGAAGAAACTTTGACCTACGATAGCAAGAGCTATAGGTGACTAATAGAGAATATAAAAGATGTTCTTAGAATTTATAGATCATTATCTTTTTATTGATATTAAATTTGACTAATTTGCATTTAAGGTAGTTACGAGTTCGTCCTTATAAATGCCTCTATAGATCTGGGTTGAGTTAGGTTCTGCGAAAGTCTAATAATAATATTAGCTTCCCCTAAGGGTAGAATGTAAATCCGTTATACTTATAAAGATTAAATGCCTTAGACCCTAACCTACTTTTATTTCCCTATACTGGAAACGTCTACCCTAAATCCCTTGGTGTCTAAGGGAATTACCCCTATGGGTTGGGCCCATTTTTAGGTTTTGGCGATGTCTAGCTAGAAATATGGGTCCCCGTGGTGGCCATTAATGGTTTTATACCTCCGCATCTCAGCAATGTGTGATTTTCCTTTTTTCTCTCGAAAGCAACAGAGCCGATATCTCTATGGCAGTGAGATCATTGCTGGCTGTCTTGGTGGACATGGCTTGCTGGATGTTCCGCCGACCAAGTACTAAACTGGGGACTGGTAGGAGCCAATGCCATATTAATCAATTGGTAAGTGCCATGTTTCCCGTGGCTGGTGGCGGAATAAGCTTACCGGAAAAGGGAAAAGTATCCATCTGAAACCCCGGTATCGGCGGGATTGGGGTTGATGGTGAGCAATACAAATCACAGATAAATGCCCAGGTGAAGATGACCAGATCAAACCCACTTCCCCACCATATTTCTTGCATGAAATCCTCGTGAGCGAAATCGAGACAAGTCAACTTTGCTACCCCCTCTCGCTATCCATCATGTCAAAGATACAGAAGAAGCCACCAAGCCCCGTCATCCTTCCCCCTTCCTATGCAATGATTACTCCCTCGGAATCTTTCGACGATCCAGCCCGCGGTGAAGTCACCTGGCATACTCTCATTAGCGCTCCAAATACAGAAACCTCCGATCTTAGCGTTGGGATCGCAATGTGCCCACCTAAGACAGGCCAGCTTTGTGCTCATCGTCACGACCAAGCGGAAGTATACCACATTCTTGAAGGAGAAGGAGAGATCACGATCGACGGTATCTCGACAGACGTCATTGCCGGTAGCACAGTCTTTATCCCTGGAAATGCAGAGCACAAAATCGTGAACCGAGGAAACGAAAGGCTGCGGTGGTTCTATGTTTTCGCCGAGGGGTCATTTGAGAATGTCATTTATCGATTTTCGGGACAGAATGGACAGGAGAACCAGACATGAGCAATTAATCATTGATTACACTACCGTCTATGTAAACATTAAGAAGACAAGGTATCTGTTTGTACAACACAACTTGATGTGCGAGGACGCAGGTAACAGCTCTTTAGCGCTCACTGGGCCCGTACTATCATTGACTTGATTTTCCTCTTTCCCCTTCTCATGTCAATCTTCCGGTGATGTGATTGTGACTTCACACGCCTTCTAGTGCAAAAGGTTAGGTAAAGGGTACTAAGGGCTAAGGGCTAAGGGTGGAACGGTGACCATGCTGGCACGAGGGCTCCGTACCGGACCGCCCGGACCGGGCCCACATAGTCATACTCTATTCGCTGGATGAGGGGTGTACCGGACAAGTTGCCTGCCGCGCCATGATATAAAAAAGCACAAGCGGTTCTGGTTGTCAGATGTATCATGAGTTTGCGGATGTGAAACCTCAAATTCGCATTCTCGGTTCTTTTGTTTCCCGATTTTTACGAATCATTCCTTGCTCTAAAAACACTCCGACTCTGCAGCCATGACCCGAATAGTCTCTGGGGCCGACGTCTACGGACCCGGATCATGGATTGACTCGGAAGCTCTCCCGGTTCCTGAAGATGCAAAGAGGCTCATGCAGATGCTGGCAAATTCCACGCCGGGCTTCACAAAGGATCCAGCGGCCTTGAACTCAGTCACATTCACGGGGTCTCCCGGGACAATCATCCCCGGTCCCTTGAAATCTGCTGTCATCGCCGGAGCCCTTCATGCTATGGCCGGCATAGTTGCGAACGAGAT